AGGGAGCTGGGAGCCCCGCAGGCTGGGCCACCCGAGGGGGGTTCCGAGGCTCCGGACGGGACCGACCAGGGGGACTCCTTCGGGCCCCACCAGCCTTGCGCCTTTTTCGCTCGGTCTCCTTGGCCTCCCGCTCCTGCGATGCAGCTTTCCTTTTCTCTTGCTCCCGGGCTCGGGCCTCGGCCGGGGGCCCCGCCCGCCAGTTGGTCGCCTCCTGCAGCACCCTGGAGGCCCAGGGCCGGCGGTGTGGCGGCTCAGGGGATCCCGGGCGCGGCCCACACCTGGGACAATGAGCAGGAACCCAGGTGAGCAGTTTGTGGGGGAAGGGAGCCGAGGTCCGGGGAGCTGGGAGCACTGGAGACCATTTGGGGCCGCCGGGTGGAGGGGTGTGTGTGAGTGTGCGCGCGTGTGCACGTGCGCATATGTTAGGGCTGAAGTCGAAGCGGGACTCCTCACCATCTCTCCATGCACACTTTAACAGCGTATGCCCCATCTCACCTGCCCTTTCTCACGCCCACTACTGTCCCCCTAAACAAGCGGGATGAGTCAGGCCCCAACCCTCGGGATGGGGTAGGGGAGGCGTGGGAAAGACAAGGGGGAACAGCAGCGCTGGCTGGTGCCCGCGGGAAGGTCCGAATCCCAATCCCCGCCCCACCACTCTCTTCCCCTCACCCCTCCTTCACTCACGTGCGGATCTGGGGCCCGCGGGCCCAGTGGCTGGCCTGGAAGTCCATGAGCTGTCGAGGAGGGGCCCGGCGACTATAATGACAGGAAATAGTCTTCACTTCGATCACCAGCAGCTTAGATTTCTGCACCCAGAGGCAGCTCCCAGACTCCTCATCCCGGGGCTCCCGGGGGCTATCGGGCCCCTCGGAGAACAGCTGGCCATCCAGCATCCTGCCCCACCCCACCCCGGCCCCCCACCCTCCCACCCGCCCCAAAAGCCCCCTCCCAGCCCAGGGAGCTGGCGCCCACTGCAGAGCGGCGGGCCTAGCGACTGGGGACTATATATACCCAGGCACACGTGTGTGCCTGTGTGTGTGTGTGTGCGCGCGCATGTGACACGGCGCGGACCGCTCCGCACTGCTACCTCCCCCATGTGCACGGCCGCCCCCTGGGGCCCAGGATTGGGCGCCCCTTCCCACTGCTCTTGTCCCCTAAGCCTAATGGGACCTGCATGAGTGGGCAGGGGAGTTCTTATTCTTGCCAAGCTGACAGTGCCCCCACCTCCGCCAGCATTTCTTCAACCTTCCCGCTGTTTTAACTCTTCACTCCCCAGCTTGTCAGAGTGCCTGACCAGCAGGGTTCTGCCCCTGACTTCCTGCCCCAGACTTCGTTTTCCCCGACAGGGAGGTGATGGGAATGGAACTCAAGGTCTCTGCCTGCCAGTCTCTGCTGGTTTCCATGGGGTTGGGGTGCAGGAGGGGCTGGCCCACGGCTGGGGGGGGCTATTTTTAGCGGCAGCGGCGTTCGGGTGCAGAGAGGAGATGAGTAACCACTTTCATGCGGTGGAAGGAGGAGGTGGGTGGCTTTCACGCAGCCTTTGTGCGACTCTGGGGGAGTCAAAAAGGGCCACCCCCACACCCTTACTCTTTACCCTCTCAAGTGTTGTGCCCAGGGCTGCTGGTACAGCAGAACACAGGAGTCTGTCTTGCCCATCCAAGCTACTCACATTCCCATTCTAAGATGTATCTTTTGTCCTTGGGCACCCATGGAGCCCTCTCCCTGCAGCAGGCTTTCTCCCCCAAACCAGAAATCAGGATTTGAGGGGGTCATACTGTTCTGTGCCCACACAGCTCTGCTTAGCCTTATGGAGGAGAGACTAGGGTGCTTATGCACTTGCACCCTTTCAGATGGGATGCAGGAAGAATGCTGTGCTCCCTTGGTGAAACCAATCCCCTAGCAACTGAAATGATAAAAGTGGCCCCTATTTACCAGTGTAGAGCTCTCCCGTCACCACTACCACAATGTCTAGCTCACTTAGCCTCCACCTGAAGTGGCGCTCAAGATGACCACCTTTTAGGCTTATTCTGTCCTGGCTGGGGGAGGGTTCTCACATCCACGATCCCTCCCCCCAAGCCTATACCAGGTGTCCCCTGATTCACCATGGTAATGTTAGTGGCAGCACAGCCCACGCCAACCCTTCCATGCAGACTTAGCAACCATGCCTGGCAACCATGGCAGCAGCTCCAATGGAGAGGAGGGGTGCGGGGAGGTGGGAGAAGAGTGTGTATGGCAATGATTCCTGAGGAAGAAAGGATAATTCGCCTCTTCTGAGAGGAAGAGGTAAGAATAGAAGGTTGAGGCTCCAAATTTTGTCCCTTGGCTTTCCTTCTGCTCCATCCTCAGACTCTGAGACTGACTGGCTAGGTTTTAAGGGGGAACAGGAGAAGCAGAAGATCCCAATTTGTTTTTCACTAAAGTACATGCAGCCCTTGGGCACAGACCCTTCCTTTTAAGGTAATGAGTCAGGAGGGTTGTTGTAGGACAAGGACTGACTTACTGAGAGCCAGAGAAGTGAAACCCAGGCCTCCTGCTCCCCAGCATGGACCTTCAGAGAGAATCCAGACATCCCCTATCCCCATCCACTTGACCCCTCTTTACACCTACCAGCTGCACCGATGGCTCTTTGCTTGAGGTTGCTTCCTTCCACCCAGTTCCCACCAGAGCCCTAAGGTTTTAAAAGTCCTTGCCTCCCCCCTAGACATGATGGAATGTGACATAAGGAGACATCTGTCCTTTTCATCATGCACCCACCCCCACACACATAAACATACCCTAATTCTAATAACTTGGAAGCCTCCCTCCCTCAAGTCTGGGAATGTGCTGTGAGAGCTGTAAATGGGTGAAAGTAGAAGCAGGGGCTTCTCCAAAGCCATGGTGCAGCACTGAAAGCAGAGCTCTGATGAGCCCTGATGAGCCCTGATGCTTTTCCCCCATGCTATCAGGAAGCCTGCTTTGGAGGAACCAGTATGGCATGGCTGGGTTCATCAGAGTTCTTAGGCACAGTGTGAGCAGGGGAAAAGAGTTACTCTGAAATTGCTCCAGATCTTAGGTAAGAAATGGTATCATACCTGCAAGGCAGTGATGAGATGGTACCCAGAATTTGGTTTACACCTAACAATCTAGCAGTACCTATGGTGATCAGTGCTGACTACTGTTTTGGTCTACATGGTTTCAGCACAAGGAAAGGGTCTGAGGGGGCAACCATAGTTCTGCAGCTCTCCATCCCCCGCTCTCCAGCTAATATCTCACCTTGGAAGAAAGGCAAGGGATTTGTGAGTTCAAACAGTGTCAGCTCAGCAAAATCCAGAGTCCAGCCTTCCCTGACTGAGAAAAGTTGATGATGGTGGCAGGTCTCTCTGCTTACCTAAAGAAGACCCTCAGTCTGTCTACTCCCTGGTGACCTAGCACTGTTATGGGATTTTCTTTGGGTCCCAGTTATGGTAGGGGCAGAGGGGAAAGTGAGGTGATTAAGGAGGACTGCAGGCAGTAGGGTGGGGAACAGTTATGAACAGAGAATCATAAAGGCAGTAAGTAGTGTAGTGGTAAAGTGTGTGTGCTCTGAAGCAAGACTGTTTGGGTTCAACCCTAGTTCTACATTTTACTAGCTGTGTGACCTTGGGCTAGTTACTTAGCCTCTCTGTGCCTCAGTTTAAAAAAAAACTGTAAAACTGAAATAGTATCTACTATTGTTCTGAGGATTAATTGAAGTAATATATGTAAAGCACTGAGATGGTGCCTGGCACACACTTTTACGTAAGGGTGTGTATGTGTGTGCTATTGTTGTTATTAATGATGAGCTGAAGAAGCCATATGAAGTTGGCAGGCTGAAGCAGTAGTGTCTATCAACTACAAAAATCAAACACTGCAACACCATGAAGAGGCTCCTGTCATTTTAATTAGGTTTGCCATGAAAAGCAATAACCTCAGCTAACCACTCTGCCCTCCCCCTCCACCTGACTCCCATCTCCCTTCATCTGCATTGAGCACAGGAACCCAAAGGCCCTCCTCCCTAGGATCCTCCTCACTCCCATTATGGGAAGAAATGCCACTAAATGAACTCAGCCTCCTCATACAGCATGAAACAGGATGAATAAAAATATCCTTATGAAGAGTTTTGTTGTGCCTATTATCTTAGGGTGGAGTCAGAGACAGAGACAGAGGCAAAGGCTAGGTGAGATCTGGGGATCTCTTAGAGATCAGAATTTGCCTGAGGAGCACAGAGCCCACAGTTCACCCAGAAAGGGGGCTAGGTCTAAGAGGGCAGGGGCTAGGATGGGCTAGGCTGAAAGTTCTCCTCAAGTGTGAGGATAAGAACAGCTAAAAAAATCCATTCTCCTTCCCTCCCCCGACACCTTCCCTAGCTCCCATGTAGAAGGACAGGGGACTCTCAGACAGGGAACAGAGTCACAATTCTCTAAAGGTTTCATCTGTAGTTCCCAGAGCTCTGGGCAGGCAGTGAGTGAGGCATATCCCCTGGTGCTGCCTGACCCCTTCCCCCAATTCAGGGCTTCTCTCCACCTGTGAGCACCAGGGCCTGCAGGATGTCAGATAGTGATACAATCCCCTTGACCACATCATTCTCATCCACCACTACAAGTCGGTGAACCTGCATAAAGCAATACAGGAGAAGAGGTTTAGTGCCAGCCTCAGTTCAGGTGAGCCCTTCAGCCCCCCTACCCTTCTTGCCAAACCCCACTCTCAAAGCTGCTCCTTCAGCTCCTTTTGGGTCACTGGCCCCCCTACCTCTGCTTCTACCAGCCTGTTGATGATGGTTTCCAGAGTCTCATGCAGGTAGCATTTGAGGACACCCTCAAAGTAATGTGATCGATGTTGCAGGGCTTTGGTCACAGACACATCTAGGTTGTTGTAGGTCTTTTCTGCTGCCAGATTCTGGGGAGAGAGAGCAAGATTCATACAGGGAAGCAAGGGAGCCTGCCCCAAACCCTGAGCCTACCCAACCTCACCAGACTGATTTATGGTCGTTGTCAACCATGCCCACAAGCCACACCCAACTCATTCAATTCCTTTTCAAATCAGATTAGAAAGCTTGGAAGCTTCTAAAATCCTTTTGTCCCAAAAGAGACTCTCTTCTTCTCCCTCTCCATATTCAACACCCCACCCATTTCCCTACCTCCCGGCTTCCCCGCAATCACTCACGATAACATCAAACTTGGAGTAGATGTCCACCACACGCCCTAGGGGGACAGAGGCAGCTCAGCAAAGAGGATCTGGCATCCAAGGCTCCCCCTGCCCATAGAATCACCCTCCGGGCCAAGCTGAGGGGACAGCAGATTTTCCCAGAGCCACCCTGGCTTCCTTGGAGCCCTCCCCTTCTGCCCAATCTCTCACCTTTCTCATCCACCACTGGCAGGGCTGAGACTCGGTGCTGTACAAAGATGCCCAGAGCCACGTAGACGGGGGTGGTGGTGCGGACCATAGCAATGTTGGCATAGGTGCCGATCTGCAGCTCTTCCAGAGACTTAGACATGAACTCTGGCTTGGGGAACTCAGTGATCTGAGGAAAGAACCATCAGTTTGATCTTTTCAAGGCCCTCCAAACCACCCTTGGATACTCCTCCAACCAGTATATAAGTAGCAAAAACTGGGCTGAGGAGCACTTACAAACAATTTGAGGAACTTGAGGATGCGCTTGTGGGTGAGGATGTACAGGGTGTTGCCTGATTCCGGGTCAATAACTGGCAGCCTGTGGATCTTGTTTCGAATTAATGAAGAGACAGCATCAAACAAGCTGTGGGAAGGTAGGGGAAAATGATAAATTTCACAGAGCTGGGCCTAAGAGTGGTCAAAGAGCTCCTTAGAGTGTGCTTATAAACAGGGAAATAAGGTGGCTGGGGGAGAGAAGCAGTGTTCAGACCAGACCTAAAGAGTATGTGTGTGTGTTTAGGAGGAGTGTCTTTTCTCTCTTCTGCTCCTGGATCTTTGGTTATCTAGGGCCTTTGCCATTCTGATGGCAAGGCTCTTTCCCATTCTGGACAGATGGGTAGATAGAACTTACCTGGCATTAGGAGAAATGCAGACGAGTGGTTTAAAGGAGTCCTGTAGGTACACCTCTGAGGGAAAAGGGAGGTTCACAAAATACCATCATGAAAAACTGTTTACAGGAAACTCTCCATTCCTTAATCCTTTTACAACCCCTAGTTCTCTACATACCTCTCCAAGTTTCTATCTTGTGTTCTTCCAGCTCATAGATCTGTACCTGAAAGTAGAAGCAAAAGAACTTGAGACTTGAGCTCCCTGCTTCATTAACCCATTGTAGTTTGCTTGGTAGAAAGGCAATGAGAATGAGGGATTCTGGGGAGGGAAAGTGGTTTGGTCATTGGGTTGATTCCTTACCAAAGCTGATTTATAGTAGCGGTGCAGGATATTGATGAAATCAGTGATGGTCAGCATCCCTAGAAGCCGAGACAAGAGCCCTCAACACTGCTCAAAGCTTCTCTCCCTCCCAGCATAAGATGCCAATAAAACTCTGTTTCAGAAACATTTGCTTACCCACAAAACTTTGCTTCTTACTATCCCATAAAGGGGCAGCTCGCACACCATTAGTCACCAAAGCAAAGAAAGCTTTCTTCACCTATAGCCAAAACAGTAATAATCACAAAGGGAAATTCACAGGGGACAGGACTTTAAAACAACAAGGGCTGGGTATGCTGGGGAAAACATGAGACTAACCCCATAGAAGGACAAGGGTATTACCCTTGGGATGAGATAGGATGAAAGGTATTGAATCAGAAGATCCAAGGAAGGGAGGAGGGAAAAGAGGATTTCACCTACCTGCAGGGAAGTATCAAATACAACCAATTTTGAGCTTGTGGGAATCAGGTCATAGCAGCGATGAGACTTCATGAAGGAAGTATACACACTATTGTTGGATTCTGAGGTCTCTGCATAGGATAGGATAGTTAGTAGCTTCCTTCCATGCAACAACTCACAACCAAAAGAGGCAGAAAATATAAGTGCTGTAGTTGCTCACATATTTACAGCATGATTTTATAAGACCCCCTATTCTATCTGTTTTATTCCTATTGTTCCCACAAAACCTGGATGAACCCCTTAGAAATAATTTCATCCAACCCCCATCCCCAGGTGCGACTATATCTACTGGCTCCTTAGGCAAAAGATGGCTCACTAAAACAGAAAGTCTATAATATCTTTCATTAATCCGTTCTAGTCTAACAGTTTTTTCCTCGGGAAGAGAGTATAGCTCAAGTTGTAGACTGCATGCTTAGCACGCACCAGGTCCTGGGTTCAATCCCCAGTACCCCCTCTAAAAATAAATAAACCTAATTACCCCCCCACCAAAAAAAACTTTTAGTTTTTTTCTCATCTATTCAAGTTTTCCCTTTCATATATTTGGCATTTTCTCTTGTTCTTTTTTTTCAATTAAGATATAATTAAGAGTGGAGAGGGTATAGCTCAGTGGTAGTGTGTTAGCATGCACAAGGTCCTGGGTTCAATCCCCAGTACTGCCATTAAAACAAACAAACAAACAAACAAACAAACAAACCTAATCCCCTCCTCCACAAAAAAGAAAACAAACAGCAGAAAAATTTTAATGTAATTAAGCTTCTTAAAATCCAAGTAAGCTTCTTAAACACTTTTTAAGACCTATATATGAGAAAGTCATGGTCCAAGTTGGGCTATTTCAGACCAACACTAGGTTAAAGCCCAGTGTTCAATCATCCTGGCCTCACACACTCTGGAAGTCCATTTGGGGATGACCCTGCAGAACAGAAATCACCCCACCTATTCTAGACAAGTCAGAGACCCTCGCTGTGTTTACCTTTCCATTCCTCTGATTTTAATTGCTTGCTCTAAGCTGGAGAAGGAACCCCCAAAATAACAGCTCAAATGTGCTACATAGTATGTATGCCATATGCACATAAAAATATTACACCATTTAATCCTTACAACAAATCTGTAAGGCAAATATTGTCCTTATTCTTCAGAAAACAGATGGAAAGCAGTGAAAAAACTGCTTAAGGTCATATCATTAGTGACAAGAAGATTCAAACACAGATCCACCTGATTCCAAAGTTTATGCTCTTAAATCCTATGCCAGTTGTTTTTAATTTTTTTTACCAGTTATACAGGTACACAGTTTAGAGTCAAAATAGTTCTACAAAATTTTTATGAAAAATTGCAGTCCCTAGCACCCATCTTCCTGTAGTGCCCCTCCTCAGAGATGAGACCTCTTTTAGTTGATTATTTTGGTATTTATTTCTATGTCTATAAATAACATGCTTATATGGCTACTTACTTTTTTCCCTTTTAGGCATTATCTGTTATCATGCAAAGAAGATGAAAATTTTCAATTCTCTTTCCTACCAGGACTCCATTATAAACATGCACCTCTCACCACCCCATTCTCCCAGAAGTTAAACTGTAAGGTTGGTTACATCAGTATTTAAATAATTTTGACTGAATATTCATTATTCAGCACTAAGCCAAATAGTAAACTCTGATTTTTTTTCTTTCTTTCACAATTTTGTTTTCTTTGGAGTTAATAATTGTCTTGTCTTTTTGTTTGCTTAATTTTCTATGTATAGTACTTATAGCTAATTCAACCCCCAAACTCTTTACCAATTGCTTAAATCTCCTTTCAAGAAGTTCAGAAGCATAAGACAGTCTATCAATTTAAACTACCCAAAGAAGTCTCTCTGGAGCCTTCTGACCTGCTCAAATCAGGGCTGGTTTGCCTGGTGTGCACTGCTGTCATCCTGAGATCTTCCTCCATCACCATGCAGGGAACCCCTTTCACGTCTCTCCTCTATTGGCACTCCTGTGTCCTGTATCTCATGTTTTCATCTTTTTTGATTACTCCCTTGTTTTGCTGGAGTACATCTTCCAGTAGCTTCCTGAGAAAGGGTGCATGGGAGGTAAATTTTTTGAGACCTTGCAGCCTGCAGATATCTTAATTTTACCCTCATCTCTGATTTATAATTTGGCTGGATATAGAATTCTAGGTTGGAATTTATTTTCCTGCAGAATGTTGAAGGCATTGCTTCATTGCCTTCTAGCTTCTGGTTCAGAGTCCCCGGCAATTCTGATTCTTTGTATGTGACTTTTTTTTCTCTCTGGAAACTCAGGATCTTCTCTTTGTTTCTAGTGTTCTGAACTCTCATGACGATTGTGCTTTGGGTGGATCAATTTCATCCACTGTGCTGAAGATTCAATGAGTCCTTTCAATATGAAAACTAATGTTTCTCAGTTCCAGGAAATGTTCTTGAATTACTTCCTTGATTGTTTCCTTCCCTCTGTGTTGTCGTTTTTCTTTTTCTGTAACTCCTATTATTTAGATGTTAGACTTCCAAGATGACCTTTTAAGATTCGTTGTTGTTGTTGTTGCTGTTTTTAAAATACAGTAGTCCCCCCTTGACGATGTTTCACTTTCTGCAGTTTCAGTTACCTGGGGTCAACCATGGTCTGAATAGTAAATGGGAAATTCCAGAAATAAACAATTCATAAGTTTTAAATTGCACAGCATTCTGAGCAGCGTGATGCAATCTCTTGCTTTTCAGCTCAGTTCAGCCCTGGACGTCAATCATCCCTTTGTCCAACGTATCCCACCTGACGGTCACTTAGTAGCCGTCTGTTATCAGAATGACTATTGTGGTATCACAGTGCTTGTGTTCAAGTAACCTTTATTTTACTTAATAACGGCCCCAAAGGACAAAAGTAATGATGCTGGCAATTTGGATATGTAAAATAGAAGCCCTAAAGTACATCCTATAAGTGAAAAGGTGAAAGTTCTCAATTTAATAACGGAAAGAAAAAATATCATATGCTGAGGTTGCTAAGATCTATAGATGAGAATGAATCTTCTATCTGAAATTGTGAAGAATGAAAAAGGAATTCATGCTAGTTTTTCTGTTTCACCTCCAACTGCAAAAGTTATGGGGTCAGTGTGTGGTAAGTGCTTAGCTATGATGGAAGAGGCATTAAATTTGTACAATAACATATTTTGAGAGAGACAGAATGACCAACCACATTCACATAACTTTATTACAGTAGATTGTTATAATTGTTCTATTTTATTATTACTGTTGTTAATCTTTTACTGAGCCTAATTTGTAAATTAAACTTTATCATAAGTATGTATAAGAAAAAGCATAATAATTATACAGTTTGGTACTATCTGGGATTTCAGACATCCATCAGGGGTCCTGGAATATATCCCCTGTGGTTAAGGGGATACTATTGTTATCTTTTCTCTTCCTTCCTTCCATCTTTCCTTCCTTCCTCCCTTCCTCCCTCCCTTCCTCCCTTTCTTTCTTTCTTTCTTTCTTTCTTTCTTTCTTTCTTTCTTTCCTTCCTTCCTTCCTTCCTTCCTTCCTTTTTTTTTTTTTTCTTTCTTTCTTTATTCTACTTCTTTGACTTTTAATCCTACTTTCTGGGAGATTTCCTCAACTTGATTTTTCAAACTTCCTACTTAGTTTAAAATTTTTGCTATTATATTAATTTCCAAGAGCTCCTTTTTGTTTTCTGAACTTATTTTTTCATTGTATACTATACTTGTTTCATGGTGTAATATATTATTTATCCAAGGTCATATTAATGTTAATTTTTAAAGTTTTATTCTGTATGCACTGACTTTTCCCCTTTATTCCTTTTTTTTTTTTCCATTTGGAGTTGGGGCAGTTTGGATCTCTTTTTTCATGTTAGAGGCTTTGTTTAGATGTCTGGTGATCCTTGCTTTAAAGGAGGATTCAAAATGTATTTTAAGAATGGAGTCTTTAAAGGTAATTAGAAGCTCTACGTATATAAATGGGCCTTGTTGACTGAACCACTTAAACAGGGAATACTGAGTACTCATTATGTTACATAATTCTTACGGCTTTCCCATCAATGGGATTCTGGAGAGAAGGACTATTCATTCGATTTTGTGCTTGGAGGATGAGGTCTTTTCGGTCAGCATTCTGGAAATTGAATGGGGGAAAAGGACTGGGGTCTCAGCACTCAGTATAGTTCACTTCAGCTCATGTTTTCAGCACAGTACCTCAGCCTTCACCTGGGCTGGCACTCCTCTCCAGACCTCTAATCTTTGCCAAAGTTGGGATGGGGAGTTGCACTCCCCCGCTGCACTCAGTGGGGAGGGAATCTTGGGATCTGTTTCTTAGACCTTCAATGCTTCTTGGCTTTCCCCACTGCTAGTTTATAATTCAGTTTTCTCAGGTCTGCTAAGTCATTTACCACACTTCTGTCTGCTTTCCAGTTTCTAAAAATTCATTGCTATTGTCTCCTCCCTTGTTCTTCCTATTCTGGTGATTTTGTACCTTTAAAAATAATTCCTTTATGGTGGTTTTAGTGGCTTTTTGTGAAGGAACAAAAGTAAATGCGTTGTTTAACCCAGTATCTCTAACTGAAAGGCTACTGTCATTTTTCAAATTTGAAAGCTCACAGACTCCCAAGAACAAGTCTTTTGACACCAGTTTAAGACACACTACACTGATAGTTAAATACTGTCATTTTAGGTTACAGGCATTCAAACATATTTGATTTGGTTTTCCTTGTATTTTAAAAATAATTTAAATCAGTTGCCCAATTTAAAAAGCCTGGAGATTTACATCAAAATCCAAATTCTCAGTTTCTTTTCAAAATCAGAAGATCTGACAAAACTAGACCTTGAATTCCTGAATGGTAGCAATTGACCAGACCTGGATAGTTGCTGCCTCCTTTTAGATATGACAAGATGGACAGGTTGTCATAGTTATATGCTGCCCATGTCACTGTTCGATCCATGGAGACAATTTGAGTTTTTTCACCCCTGCCTTGGTTGGTGCTAATGCAAATGCACTCAGAAACATAAAATATGCACTGATATCATGTGGCACTTATGAAGAGTCCTCCAGGTAATTCAAAATATGACTATTAATCTTTTGGATACCAACACATGAAAACAGAACATTTAAACATTGTTGTGGAGAATGCTGACTTTTAAAAATGTGTTCTAGGATTTCATCCCATATGTCAGTCCTCTGAGAAAGTGTGTACTCCTAAGGCCATAAACATGTCCTCGGAAGACTAGGAGTGTTCCTGGGCAAAATCCTTTACCAGAGATGCCTGTAAGTTTTGCCTCTTTCTCGATAACCTAGGGTCAGACCATTCCATTCTAACCAGGTATTTGGGCAGGTGCTAGAATTGCCTTCTCCTGTGCCCTGGATTTTAAGGTTTAGTGCCTCTATTTCTAGATTAGTTCTAAGCTTTTTCAAATCCTTTCTATAATTTCTTTTGTATACTCAGCAGCTTTAGTGAGATCATTGGATGATAAAATCTTAGTGGCATTATTTCTGGGCTACTCAGAACATACCAGGAACTTCTAAAACATGGTTAGCCAACCCATAGCTGCCTATGGAAGTTTTTCCTGTACCTCAAAAGTTTCTCCCAAGTGGTTTGATAACTGAAGGTATTAATCATCCTCACCCTGCCAAAGATTTATTCCTAGGTGATCTTGCCAAATCATTGTTCCTGATTTGCGTGGTTTGGCACATTATCTGCCTGGCCCAGCTTTGATTTTCTCAGTTAAGACTGGGAGAAACTCAAAAGGATTGCTGAAGACAAGTTAGGATCGAGTTATTGTTTTCATACCAGTTTCCTTTCTTTGGTAAACTCACCTTGAGGATGCTCATTTTCCAGAGCTGAGTAGCTATCTGAAGAACTGACCTGGAAAAACAAGAAAAATAAAGATTCAGCCTATCTTAGGCTCCATCCATTTGAACCTAGCAACATGAGGGGAAGGGCTGGTGAATTAATTACTTCCTTTAAAGCACTATAAAGTCCTTCAGAAATATTATCTCATTTAATCTTCATAACAGCTCTGAGGAAAACACTATTATTAGCCTTATTTTCACAGATTAGGAAACTGAGGTTCAAGAAATATTAAGCAAACTGCCCAAGGTCACATGGCTGGTAATGGGTGGAAAGGGGATTTGAATACAGATCTGCGCAATTCCAAAGCTCATGTCCTTATATACTTTGCTGCCTAATGAAACATTAGGTCTTAAAAGCTGAGACTAGAAAATGTGAGCTTAAGGCTAGCCCCACAAGATTCTCACAGACCTATTTTATAAAAATATGGAAGCCAGAGAGAGCATACTGCCTTACCCTAGTCACTAAGTGGCGCTGTGGGCACCAGAGTCACTGACATACCCCCTACCATCGAGAGTGTCACATCTGAGGAGGATCCCAGCAGCTGACTGTCAGAGAGAGTCAAAGCTTGAATGACTGAGGGGTGGATGAGAAGGATAAATGTTCCAAAACTGGGGACTTGAGTTCTTTCAGCACCCTTGTGAGTCAAAAGCTGCTACAGCCCAGAAGATGTTGGTCTTCCAAGCTTCCCTGTCCATGACAGTCTAAGATTAGAGAATGCTCTGAATACAGAGAAACCTTCAGAACCATCTCTGTGCTCCCTCAGGTGGGAACATTTGAGAATTTCATTGTTATCTAGGAACTCAGGAGGGATTATGATAATTTTCATCTGCTGGAACCAATAGTTTTGGCTCTAATTGCTCTGGGTACTATCCCAAAACTAACTTACAAGTCATACTTCACCTCCATAGCTGCTGTAGTAACATGAAGTTAAAGGACTTGGCTTGAACCTGGGAGAGTGGCTGGCAAACAGGGTGAAGTTGGCAGGACAGCCCTAAACTTCCCTCCCCTAATGCACCAGGGTGGGGGCAAGAGGATCATCTCCCTCTCTTCTCTCCAGGCTGCATAAGACTATCAGCTTGGCCTGGCATTTTGGCAAAGCTATCGGAACAACAACCTCATCACTTATAAGTGGGAGAGAAGGCTCTTCAACAGTAAAGATACCCATATGGTATAACACAGTCTCAGATCTATACAAAGAAACAGCTACTTCTGTAGAAATTATTGTACCCACCATATGATACTTATTTACTGCACTGTGCTACAGTTACTTGCTACAGTTACTCTGTTCATTATCTATCCAAACAGACGATAAATTCCTGGAAGCCTGGAACTAACTTATACTTCTTGATATCTCTCCCTCATACCACTTAGCAGAGGGGTTTGCATGTAACTCTCAACTGTTTTGTTTTTCAACTCTCAAATTGATAATGATGCACAGTGATATGAACAGAGAAACGTAAGACTAAGTCACAGAGAGAGAAAAGAGACACACAGCTAAACAGAGGTACAGACACCTACATAAGAGTCAGGCACAACTGAATATGACTTTTATCTTTCCGCCTGTTTCTCCACACAGGAATGACGTAAATATGTCCACTCTCTCTACATTAAATAACATAGGGGATCTGAGACCACTGTACTACATAAATACAAAATATTGTTACAGAGACATACCCTACATCTGACACATAGACTCACAGTTTCTTCTGGACTCCTGATCCACATTTCCAATTGCATGCTGGACAACCACAGATGTCACAGAGACTCCTCAAATGCTTCAACACTAAACAGAACAGGATCTGTCCCTCCAATCCTCTTATTCTTACTGTGGTTCCCATCTTTGTTTTTGCATTGCCTTAGAACTGCAGTCTTGATTCCTCTAAGAATGAGCTATGCCAAAGAGTCTGCTTAGAATCACAGAGTTGGGCATGATCTAAACTTGTCCTTAACATCTATCAGCTAAGCTGCTATGTTAGAAATGCCTCAAATCCATCTCTTGCCTGTCCACTTTCACAGCTTTAACTTACTTAGCCTTTTACATCTCATTTTTGTAGCATTCTCTAAACTGGTCTCCCTGTCCTAAATCTTATTTCCTCTTCAATTCGTTTTTCATGCTGTCACCAAGCTCTCTCACCAAGCACCTCAGGTTTGGAAAGGACTTTCATCTCCAGCAGTGAAGAACTAATTACTCTCTGAAGCAGCTCCATCCACTTACAGAAAGCTGTTAGGAACATTCCTAAAGCATACTTGCTACCTTGCTCATAAATTTTCCATGGGTCTCCTTATTACAAAACAAAGTTCAAACTTAATGTGGTATGCAATAGCTTCAACCTGACTTCAGCCTACTTTTTCCAGTCTTTTCTCCAACTGTGACCAAAATCCAAGACTCCAGCAGCATTAAGCCACTGGCTGGCTCCCTTTGCCACCCCCAATTAATCTCTACATATTCCAATTTCTATGCTCTTGCTCACACTGTTCTCCCAACTTGTAATGCCCTCTCCTGGGTTCACAGTAATTTCTCACTCCCCTATGGTTCCACAGCCCTTTGTTTGCATCTTGATGGTAGCACTTATTACAATCTACCACAAGTAACAACTGTCACTGATTTGCCTTCACCTCTGCTCCAGTTAGGCTGAAAAATCTCAAAGTAGGACTTTTTTTCTTCTTTCTAAAACAACTTCTATTCCAAGAACATAATCCAGTACATCAAGTATGAGGGCTAAATTAGAAAATCCACATAAAAATGCTTTGTAAACTATAATACATTTATAAGTTTAAAAATGTTATTTTGAATTTAATGGAATCAGACCTTTTATTATTGCTCAAAGTTCTCTTAATCTGTAAGAGATTACTCCCTTCCCTGGGTGACCAGTTGCAAATCATTTTACTACTTTGATCTGGTTTCTTCTTTAGAACCTGAGGGACATGACCTCTCTGCAGGCAGAGGAAGAGTACAGTAAGAAAAATTACTCTGGTCATGTAACTGATCCAAAGAAAGATGAACCTGCAGCTCTTAACACAACTACAGTAGCAGATGATAAAAACAAAGATAGGAAGTTACTCTACACAGTTAAAAACTTTTGAAGGCGGAAGTGAATGGGAAGGATCCCAGAGTGCTAGTAAAAGGCTCCCGAGAGTGAGGATGGGTCCAAACAGGTAGCAGGCAACCTGCGCCATCTCTGGGAGGATGACAGGGATCTGACACAATCGGTCAATGCCTGCTCGCCAACAAGGAGCTATGCCAACATGCCTACTTAGAATCGCAGAGCAGGGCATGACCTAAACTAGTCCAGGGACACAGTGGCCTCTAACACTGAAAGATTCCCTCCTTAAGGGAAACCCCACTTTTCCGTCTTATTAAGTTTATGCGACCCCGCTGGACACCTCAGTTTGGTATAAAAGTCTTTCAGACCTCTTCTACCAAGGACTGCAGGAATCACATTCAGACAACCGGGGACCGGGTGGTACCTGCAAGCGGGGGTCCCTCGGAACCCCCTGCCTCACCCAGGAGAGCTGGATCACATCCCTTCTCTCTGTTCTCTCTCAGGCGAATCTCTGAAGGGCTTGAGGGGCTAAAAGGAAACAAGGCCCGAGACAGCCGCCGTATACGTGGGTTCCAAGGAGGGAGTGAGGAGTCACTCCCCGCCAGGGCAAAAAAGTACCGCGGACGGAAGGCAGGCACAGGCGCGGCCCAGTCTTAGGAGATGCGCTCAGAAGAGCGGAGGGGCAGGGTCACGGGATAGGACAGACCCCCGGCTTCGTTTACTGGGCACCAGCACCGGCCCTGGCCCAGGCTTCCCCGTCCCCTGACCGGGGTTTCAGGCTCCACAGCGCCCCCCAGCCACCCTCCCGCGCTCCTCACCGTCTCCATTGCGAGACGCCGGCCGGGTCCGTTCACTTAGG